GCATAAACACATTTCATTACACCAAATACACAAAATAATGTTCTTTTTAGCAACATCATATGACCCCTTTAACACAAGACTCATTCATCCTTCTCTGCAACACTAAAGTGTAGGGATGTGCCGATATGAGTATCGGTACCGAACGGTTCACGGGGCTATTTCCAAATGGAAGTGATCATCCCTATCCCCTTGCACTTGGCAAAGCGAGTTCTCGTGACAACGCAGCACGGTGTCCGTCAGCAGATTCGCTGTTTTACTGTCATAAATGTCTTTTTATTGTTGTTAGCATAACTGTTGAAAATAAACATACATTTTATATTTTAAAAAGTTTTTAAAATATGCTATATAATACATAAAAACTAATATATATCAAACTTTTTAAAATATAAAATGTATATTTGTTTTATGCCAGTGTCCATCAGCGAATCTGCTGAGGGACACCGTGCTGTGTTGTCACGGGAACATGCCAGCTGAAGATAATGAGGAAATTACGTCGCTCCCTTTGCCAAGTGCATTCCAAACGACTGTCCCCTTGTCCAAATACCCACACTTGCGGTCTTGGACACTTGAGAGCGCGTGTACGTGACAGGAAGTAAGTGTGCAAGACTGTCCCAGGTCTTACAAATACCAAAGTGCAGTGCCCTTAACGCACACTATCTTAGTGTGGGCTTAGTGTATCCCATCATGCATCATGTTCTGGAAATAAATCGTGAGACTTTTTGCCGAGATCTCGCGAGAGGTCACGGAAACCTTTCCAATGTAAGTTAAATATTATTAATAATAATAATAATTATTACATATAATTTGGTAGTAAAACAAAGTGCTACACATTTTATTGCTGCAAAGACGAGTATATTTATTTTTTTTATCTTTTTATCACTTAATTAAATTGTGTCATCTATAGGGACTACTGAACAGACATTTAGAAGTTGATTTTAAAATGCAAAGTATTGAAAATAATAATAAAACTCTGTAAACAATTAGCGTTTTTACAAAACTATAAGTGTGTCCCATCAGGTAATGAAAAGTTGTACACACACTTGTGGTCTTCATGCTCACTTGAACACTTGGGTCAAATACAGGAAATACGTCATAGAAGTAGTCAAGTGCAAAGACCGCAAGTGTGTGTATTTGGACAAGGCATATATAATGGCACGCACGTGCCCTGCTCACTCCAAGGGGATAGGGATGATCACTTCCATTTGGAAATAGCCCCGTGAACCGTACTAAAGTGTGATCATTGATCTTTGGAAATCCATGTTTCATGAGTTCATTCATAATTTCAGATGGAATGTAGAAAAATAATTTCACTATAACAAAACAAACAAAAAAAAGTTCACAGTGATCTTTGTCTTCATGCATCCAGCACTTGGGTGTCATATCATACTTTATATTTCTCTTTCGCGCTGTCACTTAATATACAGATATGCTGAAAGATATAAAGAAAAAGAGAAGGTGTAAATACATAATTCAGATCAGACAAACAAATAATATACAAAACTGACACAACTTGCACTCAATATACACCAAGTTATGCAGAGCACACAATTCAATCAAAACAGAACAGGACAAAACACTTACACTCAAATCCCTGAAATATTCATTGTAGTCTAAAGCATATCCCACTAGGAACTTATCAGGAACTTCAAATCCAATATCTAAAAACAAAGAATACAAGGCATTTAAACATACACACAGAAGAGAAAAATAAAATTGTACTTTGCAGAAAGAAAGCTTTTCTGCATTGTTTTCATTATAATTAAACGCATTCCAAATAATGTGAATAAAAATAATTATTATATAATATTAATTATAATCAGGTAATTCATATAATTCAGGTAACATCTCTAATAAATCTTCCGCCAGCATAAACTAATTCAGTTGAAAGTCATGCAAGAAATGCAAGTAATTTTACCCAAAAATTTGAATGGCATATATATACAGTGGGTACGGAAAGTATTCAGACCCCCTTAAATTTTTCACTCTTTGTTATATTGCAGC